GGCTGGGTCCTCATGAGGACCCAGCCCATGAATTGAGACGCAGCCCTAGTGACGCCCCTGGCTCAATGTGATCTGAGCAGAACATAATGTAACTGTTTAAAATTAAAGGAGACCAATTATGGGTCCTAGAAATTTTTATGGTATATCTGTGGGCTATCCAGACCATGTTCATTCAATTTAATGCACAAAATAATTCTCAGATAAAAAAATTTCCCATTTTCTATTTCTAGTTTTCTAGTTCTGTAGGCAGCAGCAACTGCTGTGTCTACCTTTTTCCGAAAAAAAAAAAAAAGGTAGCTGTGCCGCTTCCGCCCCCTCCCCGCTCCTGCTAGTGCTTCTCATCCCATACAGGAGCGCTACTGAGAGCCTGCGACACCTTCCCCCTCAAACCACTCCCCCTTTCTCTGAAGTGCAGACACACACACGCGCGCACAGACGCACGCATGCACACACACACGCGCAGGGGTTGGGGTGCTAGCTGTCTGCTGTAAAACAACATGGTGGTCAGAGCCTTAGAGCCACTGGAACAGGTAATGGTCTGATAACGTCCAGCTCTTGGAAAAACTTTATTCTTTACAAAGGACCAAAAATAAGTCAAAAAGTAGGACAGTTATTTTTCTTAAGAAAAGTTAGCTTGCTTCTAATTATCTATCAGCTAACGTTAGCAATCATTTAGTGATGACATTATCTATTATTGATTTTTTAAAATCAGTTAAACTGTATTTTAATGCTAAGATTGAGTCCAGGTCCACTCTGATATTTATTGATTCCCTGTTATAATTTACATTCATACGTCATAGATTATTTCTCTAATTTAATCTGCTAACTTCAAAATTTACACGTTATTTACTTGACTTTTTAAAGCTGACTGAATTCACTTGGAAGTAAAAACATAATACTTAATCTATCTGTTGATGTAGGAGCTGGATACAGAGAGTCAGAGGCAGCAGGTAGAACAGGGTGTCTCAGGTAGGACAGAGTGTCTCAGGTAGGACAGAGTATCTCAGGTAGGACAGAGTATCTCAGGTAGGACAGGGTGTCTCAGGTAGAACAGGGTGTCTCAGGTAGGACAGAGTGTCTCAGGTAGGACAGAGTATCTCAGGTAGGACAGAGTATCTCAGGTAGGACAGAGTGTCTCAGGTAGGACAGAGTATCTCAGGTAGGACAGAGTGTCTCAGGTAGGACAGAGTATCTCAGGTAGGACAGAGTATCTCAGGTAGGACAGAGTATCTCAGGTAGGACAGAGGGTCTCAGGTAGGACAGAGGGTCTCAGGTAGGACAGACTATCTCAGGTAGGACAGAGTATCTCAGGTAAGACAGAGGGTCTCAGGTAGGACAGAGGGTCTCAGGTAGGACAGAGTATCTCAGGTAGGACAGAGTATCTCAGGTAGGACAGAGGGTCTCAGGTAGGACAGAGGGTCTCAGGTAGGACAGAGTATCTCAGGTAGGACAGAGGGTCTCAGGTAGGACAGAGGGTCTCCGGTAGG